AGAGCTCAGAGCCTGCTGATCACACCTGCGTTTTTGCCGAGCCTATAGGATATTGCTCGAATGATCAGACGTACTTCACAACGTATGGGAGGAAAGTTAAATGGCTGTCGTTATTGTGTGCTTTATTTGCAGCTGCATCCGTTTTCAACGTAACGGGAAAGGGGTCCCGAGTTGAAAGCCACTGAAATATTATATTGTGTTCAGCTCAGCTTGTTTTTATGGTTTCTATATTTTGTGTGCGAAACGACACGAAAGTGGCGTGTCTTTCACTGAAGATCACCAATATTTTGGCGCATTCTGTTTGGATACCAAGAAGCGTTACGGCCATAGCAGAGAATATTTGATGCAAAGCAGAACATTTTATCTTGAGTAGGGTGGGGTAAAATGAGACATGGGGCAAAATGCGACATTTTCACTAAATTTGCCGGCTCCTGTGGCTAAAAGAAAAGAACTACTTTCTTTGGTTATGTTTTTCAGAGAAAATTGATGGTTCTTGTCAAGCTTTTCATTTGTAATAGTTGATCATGACTCAAAGGAGGGCGCGCGGGAAAATTTACGCGGATGGTGTCAGTGTTTTCGTGAGCTGTCATAAAGGGGCGACATTCTGCTCGGCCAAATTTTCATGTCCGTGCATGAAGCTCCTCCTGCGTCAATACCCGCCGCGGTAGTCTCCAAGGTACTAGGCTGCTGATCTGCAAGGCTAGGAATCGAATCGAGGGTGGGGTGGCTGCATTTTTGATAGAGGCGAAAGTGTTGTCGGCCCGTGAGTTTATACTTGGGTGCAATTTGAAGAACCCGAGGTGGTCGAAATTTTCAGAGCCCTTCACTATAGCGTCTGTGATAATCATACGGTGGTTGCGGGACGTTAATCCCCACATATCAATCAGTGATTCAATACAGCAACGTAAATACTTATTTGTTAATTTAGACTACTAACTACTTAACACGAAAACTTTAGTTCGTTTGGTGCCCGGAAAAAAAGCGGGGATTTTTTGAAATTCACGCCCGTGAGATAGGCAAAACGCGACAAAAAAGCATCCAATTGTTATTTTGTCTTATGAATTGATCTATTACCTTACAATCAGTAAATATTGCATTTATTTGTTTAGGAGGGTTCTACATCAAAGAGAATAATATATAGAGCTTCCTGAGAGTAAAACTACACAAAAAAAGCACTGATTGCCGTTCAGGATATTACTTGTGCTACATCGAAGTTATTTAGTATTCCAAAGGATGCTCTCAAGAGATGCATAAAAAAATGACAGAATCTCCAGGTCAAGTGGTTCACAAAAAAGGCTTGGATTGAGTTTCAACGACGTTTCTCCAACACCCGAAACAAAATAAAACAAGAGCTAGAAAATATATTATAGCACAGTTTTATATGATTGCTTCATAAACCTAGGCGAACAAATATTAAAAGTTAAGAAATGCCTGAACAGTTCTCTATCAAAACGGTAAACAAACGATACGTAAAAACATGTCTAGCCTCCAATTGATGAGTGAATCGATGAGGTACAAGGGTTCAGCAAAAGACAACACTATAACAAACAAAGACTGACTGTGTTTGATCTGCAAGCAGTTTCGAATCAACACAACACCGGGGTCTGTCAAGAATCAAGGCGCGTAGCCCAAGGACATGGCTCCTTAAAACTCTTTCAGAGCCCACAGAGTAAATGGCAAATCTTGCTACTTCAAAATCTGAAGAAATGATTTTTTTCCCACGACATGTCTCGTTTTGCCCCATGCAGCGTCTTGTTTTGCCCCTAGGGTGGGGCAAAATGGAAAATTTGGAGCATTTTTATTTTCTTTCAAAGTAACTTTTTGAACGGTGGCCATATGGCAATATTTATGTAGCACATACCTTGTGTACCCAAAAGAGAGTTTCTGCATTGATGTTTAATTGTAACAAGTTAAAACAAAATAAACAATAACTATTTTAAAAATTCCGCCGCATTTTGCTCTACCCTGTATACCCTAAACCCAAATGTGGAGTGATGATCCAATTTTAACATCTGTATAAACATTGGTGTGCTAACAATAAATTAGGAGTAAATCTTGTAAAATGCCAGTTGCTGAGCTGCTTTTATTCAAAATCATCCTTAGGTTATTGTTCCTACAGCTTTTATTTCTGGTTTATCGATTTCTGCATCCAAAGTCAAAATTAACAGTGGCTTTTTATAACACTAAGCGCGGTAAGAATGTTTCATATTCTTGAACAACTTTTTGGATTCTCTTTTAGATTTCTAAGACCACGTAGTTATAGAAGCATTTGTCACATTCTACGAGAAGTCGCTAAATGCGTCAGTATGACAGAACCCTTTGTTAAAATTTAACTATTCCCCATAATGGGCTCAGTTCTAAATAGACTCAAGGTAGCCTAGTGAACAACATACAATGCTCTCTGGCAAAGAAATGCCAAAGTATCTGCTATGAATTTTGTGACAAGTCATGTAGAATGAGATATGCATTGGCGTATTTTGAACAACTTTTTTGCTTTATGAGCAGAGTATGAACTCGTAATAGTATATACAAAGAGTGACTCCTGCGAATGCCTAGTTGGTGAAGTGCTCTTATTACTGTGCCTACTTGTATTTCGAGTGCGCCGATGTGTTGTTCATAAACGTGTCCGTTAAAAAGGGCCCTGCAACACTTTTTGAGCATGGTCACAAAATGCTGCCGATCGGTAGTATGGGCTCCCGAGAATATGCAATCTGAATACTATAGCGCAGCACACAGCCTGGAATTCACAATAAATTATCAGTAACATAAAATTGCTTTCTTGTCTTTCAACAAAAGAGCAAATATGCTCAAAAATCACTCGTAAAAGGCTATCTATCAGTCATTGGCTGATTGGAACATGGCACACTCAGTCATTACAAGGATTTCCGCGAGAGGTCATCACTTTTCCACAGGTGCGCTCGCGATCACACTGAAAAAAAAAGTCACGTGCTCAAAAAAAAAAAAACAGTGCTCGAGGCTACAAGATGCGCGTGACATTTTTTTTTTTCTTCAACCATACCTTCCTGCTTAGCTTGCAGCACTATCTTCGTGACGAGAGAAGAGCGAATGCTCTTGCAGGGTGCGACAAATCTTTGTAAAGCCTTAACTGCATGCACGTGATTCACCAGCGACAGAGACAAGCGACAGCGACAAACTTACTCCGTCGTGCCGTCGCGTCTCTACGGCTGCGACCGCATTTCGGAGACAAAAAGTCATTGTTGCTTTAATGAAAGCTATCGCGTGCATACCCTTCAATTGTGAATAGTAATATAAAACTTGGTCGATGGCAACATGACCTATTTATTACTGTCTTGTGCGATATAAGGAAGCCCCAAAAGCTTTTCGCCCCCTCTTTTCTGGCAATCTTATGTTAAAACACAACATGCTGCCCAGAAGTGTGCGCTACAACGGCTACGATGCACTTCGCATGACTATTTCGCATCGTAGCAAGCGACTACATTCCTGCTTGCTACATTGCGTGAAAGACAAAACACGGCCGCTCTCACTCTCCGTGCTAGATGAGAATGTAAAAATTGTAGCCGATACCTTGCATTCCTGAAGTACGCCAGGACAACAAGCATCGAGAGCAAGTTACAACTGAAGCAAGGACCAAGGCCACACCCACGTTGCCGAAAATTACCACGCTGGCTTCCAGACGACCAGTGATCTTTTCTAAATTTCCACAAACACGCGACGCGACAAGTGGAGACGACGGATGGGCCTCCGCGACAGCAAATCTTGTCGCTCGTCTTTGTCGTTTGTCGTTGTGGTGAGAAAATCGCGTGCATGCGGTTAGGGCTTATCCCCGCTCGTTCTGGACGGATTCTCAAAAGTTTTCTGGCGTTGAATTTGCGAGGCAATAATGTCTTGTGGGGATTTCATTCCATGTTTACTTGAAAAAGTGTTTTAGGGCCCCTTTTAGATTGCGCTGATGATGCTGCTGGCACGCAGTCCTTCACATTTTTTAGGCAGCTCTATCACGTTCACATATCACGCAGGTTACACTGCGTGACACCGGTTACAAAACTACAAAAGTGCATAGTTTGCACTCATGGATAAATCTCAGGTGAAAACTTATAACTAGAGAAATCTACTTTAAAAAGCTGGAAATAATTGTCAGAACTGAAGCGGTATCAAATATTTTGAAGAAAGTGAGCAGCGACCAGCACAAGGATGAATCATAATGAGTGACCTGGTTGAATTTATGTAACCTCATCGGCCCTTCAGTACTGAGGTAAAGAAATTGTTGCAAGAGTTGAGCAAAGCACTGATCATACATCTGTGCAAACTAATGCCGGTAGCCAAGCGCGAGACATAATGCATTTCCGCATCATTTTATAATCACGCGAGTGTAAACCAATGAATCAGTGCGCCCACACTTTGTGCTCAGGACGAAAGTGCACAGGTGGAGTAATTTTCAATAATGGGAGCATGCATAATTTAGAAAAGCAGCGACAACCATAGAAGCTTCGCCATAAATGATAACTGCACAAAGTGACTTATGGTGGTTGATTCAAATCCGAAACGACACTTAGGTGCTTGCAGAATTTTCAAAGAAAAGCCATGGTGTCAGAACGTGATCAGCTATATTGGCACCGCACAAGAGGCCACGTGCTTCAAGAACATAAAATACAGTACTGCCTACAAGAGTGTCATAAGAGTATAAATTATTTTGAAGGCTTTGCATCCTTGTTGATGACTCTTCCTTATTACGCCTCGTTACCTAGAATATCTTGGAGAACAAAAGCTGCTTGCTAACCAAAGTAATTCTTGTCTTGATTGCCTGTTTCTTTTTGAACGTAAAAATGGGTAATTACTTGATTTTATATGTTTATTTTGACATTACTGGGCTGTTTTGCTTTGTATGGTGTGGTGTAGTTTTGTTCATAGTGCCAAACTGTATCATTGTTTTAAGAATATTGATAAAAAAACATAAGTGCTTAAGTAAATGCGAAAGACGATGTTTAAAGTGGTATTTTGTTACATATCGCACTTACCAGGGTGCAAGCTTCTGCTGCGGGTGAAGAAGGCGATGTTGTTAACCTAAGTCTCGGGTTTTCTGACTACCCGCCACCAGATTTCCTTCGTGAAGCTTTGCAGGATGCGATCTCCTGCAAGATATTGCACCAGTACACTCGAGGATTCGTAAGTATATAGTCATTGTTTTGGCATTATTGACGTTGCATTTTGAACAAAATTTCCGTTTTGGAGCTTGGCCCCTGGCAAGAAAAACCGTTAAGAGAAAGATGTCTGAGACAGATGCAGTGGCAATCTATGACTTCAGCAAAGCACGGGAGTACAGCAAAACGAGACATGTGATAGTTATTACGCAGAAAAACCAGTGAAAGTTCAGACTAGCCTACTGTGTTAAACATTCATCATTATCATCACCACCGCCAGCCTGACTACGCTCACTGCTGGACAAAAGCCTCTATCATGTTCCACCAGTATACTCGATACTGTGCTTCATGCTGACACTTTATACCTCCGAACTTCCTAATCTCACCTATCTACCTAACTTTCTGTCTCCCCTTCAACCCTCGTCTTTTCGTAGAATCCAGTATGTGATCCTTGATGACTTGCGGTTATCTTGCCCTCGCACTGCGTGTCCCGCCCATGACCATTTCTTCTTGTCGGTTGCGAACATGATGTGCTTAACACGCATTTGTTACATGATAAACTTTGCCCTCTTCTGGTCCTTTAGGGTTACACCAATCTTTTTTTTAAATTTTTATTGCTCGCAGCGCCGTCCTCAATTTAAGTTGAACCCTTTTTAGAATCCGCCAGGTTTCAGCTCTGTATACGTAGTGCCACATTCCTAGTTACGTTATCGGCCCATTTCACTGCCAGTGATTCTCACCGCAGACCGCACTTGCAGTGTTCGAGAAGCTTCAAAACTGCAGTAGGCCAATTGTGTTAAGGTTACGCCCACTTCGCGAGCATTACAGATTATTCTGGAACCTTCGTGGCCACTTACGAGAACACTAGAATATTCAACAGCACGTGTATAAATGCCAACGCGCTTCACCGTTCGCCAATTTATCGACGGCCCACACTCCATTCACCACAATCAGTGCCAGTGTCTTGCTCTATTATGACTTTCTTTTGGCGTGGCCAGAAGTTCCGCCCAAATAAACAGGTTCATCTTCGGCTTGAAGTCTCCTCTTTCCGTCAATGTCTCGACCTCGTGACATCTCGTGGAGGTGCTCCTTCTTTCAGGTGTTTGGATTACCCTTCAAGCCTCGAACCCTGCCCCGAATTGCGAAGAAGGTACATGCAGAGGGGACTGCAACCAGGGTATGGGTCCCTTCCTGCCACATGCGGGCAGCCCCGGATCTCGACATCGACTGCAGCAACGATGACCGCCCCCGCGCAGTCTGCCCCGATCGTTCTCTGGCAGCCCAAGGACCCGCCAACCTCCCGTGGATTGTTAATTGAGGACCCGAAAGCTGGATCGAGAGATACGACCGAGTCACTGTCTCGAACAGCTGGAACCCCGAAGAAAAACTACGCTGCGTCTGCTTATGCATAGAAGACGCCACCAAGACGCGGTTTGAGTACCGGGAATCCACGCTAAGAACCTGGGATATCTTTGGGAATACGTTTCTCCGCACTTTCATGAGCGTCGTACGCAAGGAAAAGGCCACCAGCTTGCTGGAAACACGGGTACAACTCCCTGATAAAAAGTTCACCATCTTCGGCGAAGAGATGACCCGGCTGTTTTGTCACGGTGACCCCACCATGGCTGAGGAGAAGAAACTCCGGTTCCTGATGTGTGGGGTCAAGCAAGAGCTGTTTGCGGGACTTGTACGTAACCCGACCAAAATAAAAAAGAAATTTTTACCAAGGCCACTACAATAGAAAAGGCGCTTGACATGCAGACAACACCATACAACTGCGGCGCATCATTCCACTGCACCGAAGCCTTCAACACCGATGATCTGCGTGAGACCATTCGAGCGATCGTGCGGGAGGAGCTGCGCAAGGTGCTACCTTCACCGCAGCCTCAGCTATATCGCCGCCAAGAAGTTCACCAATCCTCTGGGATCTCCGAAGCACTGCAGCCTGAACCAGACGGTATGATCAATGCCACCGCATTGCGTCACAACGCTCCCCCATGCCCACGTCAGGACACTGCCTCGCCACAGTTCTACTGCAAGATACCGCCGCCACCACCACCGACGCCATACCGCCCACCTGCCGGACAGCGCTGTGCTTCTAGGAAGACTGACGTCTGGTGCGCCCCTGACCACCGCCCACTGTGCTACACTGCGGTGAATCTGGGCACACGCACCTGCCACTGCCAGTACCGCCAGTTGGGAATGCGTGGTTTCGCCATTGACACACCGCGTCCACAGCGTGGTGAAAAACCACGTAACATTCCTGACTATTTCGCAGGAGTGCAGAGGACACCCCTGGGATCATCTCGCTCATCCTCATCCAGCTGCTACGTGTCACCGTGCCGTCCACATTTCAATTTCCCAAACCAGAGCTGGTCGCCTCGCCCGCACTCAGAAACCTGAAGACAGCAACCGAAGGAGGAGCGGTTGCTGAGCAACAAACTGTTGAAGATACTCCGCCACCGCCGACGACGCCGTGATGAAACCTGAAGAACCCCTCGAAACATGAACATTGGCCTGACGTTGAAACTTCGCGGCCAAATGAAAACTTTTCCACGCAACGTCGAAGCAGCGTAAAAACCGCCGTAGCGGTGAGCCGACGCCGCGACCTAACTGCACCGCGAACAGACGAACTAGCAAATTCAATGTCCTCATGAACGACCAGAGCTTCACAGCTCTCCTCGATACCGGAGCTGACTATTCCGTCATTAATGGGATATTCATCGCAAAGTTGAAGATGGTTGGAGCAATTTGGGAAAGCGCCGTAGTTGGTACAGCTTGAGGTTCATTAGTTACAATGGCAGGGAACTGCATAGCCTGAGTCACGATTAACCGCGACTTATCCTGCAAGCTTCGTAGTACTATGTAAGGCATTGCTCGAGAGATGTAATCCTTGGTATAAATTTCACAAGCCTCCTTAGTGCCGTCGTTGACATATGAACAAAGTCGATCACACTCTCCACAAAAAAGCACTGCCGCCGCACACGATGTCAAGAAGGCACGCCTTGAATGTGCTGAATAACCCATTCACCATTCGTCCTCGCTCCAGCGTTAGCATTTCCGTCAGCACTCAAGAATCAACAGACATGCAAGGCGTCATATAAGGTCACCATCATCTACTGATAAACCGCGAAACTTTCGTCGCCAGAGAAATAGCCGAGTTTGACGAGGCTACGCAAAAAATGCTCACTAACTTAAGCAACGTGTACAAGCACGTCAGCAATGGTTCTAGTATACTCTAGCAAAAGCACGATGGTAGCCTACATCGAAGAGATACTGGAAGCCAGCAAAGCTTTAGCTCTCGCCGATTCCGCCGGATGTATTCCGACGACTGGAAGGCTTCAACCAGCTTCCCACGTTAGGACGAGCCTTCAGACGCATAAACAAGAACAGCTCAAAAAGCTGCTCTTAAATTGCAAGAACTGCTTCTCATCGTCATCGAGAATTCAATAAACCCCTGTCACGAAACATCTAATCGCAACAGAAAAAAATGACAGGCTACTCCGTCAGAGCTCGGACAGAGTTTGGACGCGAGAACGCGAGGTCATGAAGAAACAAGTCGATGAAATGCTCAGTGACGACATTATCCAGCCTTCAAAGAGTCCACGAGAAGCACCAGTGGTATTAGTGAGAAAAAAGGATGGAACACTACGCTTTTGCGTTGACTATAGCCGACTCGACTAAACAAAATCACGAAGGACGTATATCCACTTCCCCGAATAGACAATGCCGTTGATCGACACCACAACGCCAAATCGATAGACCTCAAGACAGGCTATTGGCAGATCAAAGTAATCAAGAGAAACGGAGAAAAGACTGTGTTTATAACACCAGACGGCCCCTTCGAGTTCAAGGTCATGCCCTTTGTGTTCGCTCGGGGCCTGCGGCGTTGCATCGTGTTATGAACAATTCGCTCGCTAAATTGAAGTGGCAGACTTGCGTCCTGTACTTGGACGATGATGCAGTGTTTTACTCAAGCTTTGACAAGAATTTCAGTGACTTCAAGAAATCAACACCTCCAGACTTACTCTGAAACCAGAAAAATGCTGTTTTCCATGCTAACAACTCTTGTTCTTGGGACATGTGATAAGCAACCGGAGTACGCCCCAACCCCCAAAAGACAATACCATCGCTGCATTCCTGTCACTCACTGACAAGAAGACCGTGCGTCTATTAATCGGCTTCTGCGCCTAATGGAGGCGTTTCGTCAAATCTTTTGCCCGCAGCACCGAGCCACTCACTAACCCTACAAAGACTGACGTAGAGTTCAATGGGGAAACTCCGCTGGAAGAAGCATTTTAAGAACTAAAACGACGCCTGCCAACACCGCCGATACTTGCCCATTTCGATAAAAACCTCGACACGTAAATCCACACCAACACAAGCACTGTAGGGCTCGGAGCCAACCTGGTGCATAAGATAGACGGACTTGAAAGGGTTATCAGCTATGTGAGGCAGTCACTATCTAAGGCGGAAGTTAACTATTGCACAACAGAAAAAAATGTCTTGCCATCGTCTGGGCTATCTCTAAGTTTCGCCCCTTTTTCTACGGCAGCCCTTTCAAAGTTGTTAGCGGCCATGATGTCCTCTGTTGGCTAGCTGACTTGAAGGACCCTTCAAGCCGCCTCTCACGGTGGACTCTGCGACTTCATGAATTTCACATCGCCGTCGTTTACCAATCGGGGCGAAGGCACAATGACGCTGACTGCTTGTCTCGCGCCCCCGTCGACAGACCGCCGCAGGACAACGAGGATGGCGACTGCTTCTTGGGAACCTTAAGCGTCGATTGTTTTGCAGATTGACAGCGGGCCGACCCTGAATCTGAGGGCCTTGTGGAATACCTAGAGGGCAGGGCTGCTATTGTTCCAAAGGTATTCAAGTGAGGACAGGCGTCGTTTTCCTTGCGTAACGGCATCCTCGTCAAGAAAACCTTCGCACCACATGGGGCCAACCGCCCCCTCGTAGTACCTTCAGCGTTACGTCCAGAAGTTATGAATGTTCTACACGAGGACTCGATGGCGTGAC